CAGATATAATATATAAATGATAATACATATAAAGAATAAAATAATATATAAAAATAAGAGAAAGAAACAAGCTAACACTGTCTAAAGTATTCCTATTCAGATACCCTTGTAATTAAAGGGTGTAGAATCTGAAAATTTATTACTTGTCATTTAACAATAGCTAGGCTGTTTATCATAATTGCTATTATGACTAAGTACAAGGTGCAGAGTTATTTACATCCCTTGTTTGCCTTTCCTTCATCAACAGTACAACAAATATTTCGAGAATCGAACTTGACCTCTGAATTACTAATTTAAATACTAACTATCTTGTGTGAGTCTATATACTCCAATTTACATGACCAGTTAGTAAATGTTACACGTGATATCTGAAAGGATATAGATGATCTTCTTTTAGGCAAAGATACTAGTTGATACCTGTCAAGCTTTGGATTACGGAAAGATCATCACCCATACTAATCGTAACTAGTTGAAATTGATCCGTTAACCTTATGACTTAGTTCTGGTACACTAGCCACTAGACTATATAGACCAGAGCCTATAAAATTTAAATAAAATTTAATAAAGTAAAATTATATTTTACTAATAAAAAAGATCTGTTTTATTTATATTATAAATTCGTTCAGAAAAATAATCTATATATTTATTTTGTAATAATAGAAGTGCTTCTTCAATAGAAACTTCATTTGCTAATATTACTTCACCTTGTAATTTTATTTGTTAAATTTTATTATGTTTTTTAAAACCATATAATTAACTAGAAGAAAATAATAAAATATTTTTAGGAATACCTAATTTTGTCATTTGAATTCTATAGAAATATGAGATCAGTTAATAAACAAAATAATTAGTTCCATTTGTCCTCGTAACTTCTAGCTAAAGGAAAATGCATCTGTACCTCTTTATCTTCTCTGTTTCTCTTTGTTATAGGTTTTACATCAAAAATATTACAACTTATAATCTTATTATCTAACTTTTGAAGAAATACAAAGTCAGTATCATAACAAATATTGGAAATAACATTAACTAATTTTGTCAATTATCAATTATTAGCTAAAAAATATCCTATCTTTTCTTGGATACCTTTTCAGTTTTTTCTCTTTAATATATTAACATTGAATGATCTATTATTAATCCTAACCATTTTGCTATCTATAATTTGATAAAAGTGAATTGAATGATCACTGGATACCTTATGTACATTCTTCTTTTGTCTTACGACATGAAAATCAAATTGAGAATTATTCTATATTAAACAATTTGATGTATTAGTAATATTTTAAATAATTGATTTTCTTTTTATTGGATAGGTTAAGAGACTTTAATACAAGAAAGCTAAAAGGTTACCTGTGCTTCTAATGGACTAGTGCTAAGTAAGCTAAGAGACTTTAACACAGGGAAGCTAAGAGGTTACCTGTGCCCTCAGTGTCAGTTCTGTGACAAAGAAGTTAAGAGATTTCCATCATACCACTTACTTTTTTCAACCACATTTTCAATAAAAAAGAAATTACTTACCTTGTAATAATATTTATTATAGAGCTGTTACATTTTTTCACATTTTTTTCCTTGCGTTAAGTTAATGATGTGTTTGAGACTTTTTATATATAAGTCTATCTTTAGTCAGAATGGCTCTTCCTTACTTTCTTTCAAGAATCCAGTAATGTTCCATTTATCACAAGTCCATTTAAAATATTTATGTATTGATTTGTCAACCATTTTATCACAAGGTCAATAGGTCAATCTTTTTTTTTTAAACAACGCATATGTGTAAAATGTAATACACACAACACGTGATACTTTACATTTGTTCAAAATTTATTTACATGAGGTTTTTTTTCTGATGATAAAAGCTAACTAGCTGATATATAAGATATTATTTCACAATACATCTATACATTTAAGTATTGGTAACTTGCCTTACAAAATCACATCCAAAATTTTAGCAATGGCCCGTTGTCAAAATCAGATTGCGACTGCGCCACATTACTGTGCCTGAACACGTGTGTCCAGTTTTTCTAAAATTATCTTGTTTTATCATACTTCTATGTATTTAAGAATTCATAACTACTAGGCTAGAATTTGTGGACTTTTGAAAAGTTCAAACCATTTTCAAAAATATTCTACTAATAACCTTATACTCTATTTAATTAGTCTTGCCTTTAAAAGGTTAATATAAAAGTTTCGAACACGTACGTAATTTGTAACGAGCTGTGACATTTTGGAAACATGATTTTTCGCCACAATTTTATTTGATCACGTGATATAGTGAACCTACCCTTAAGATAGTATAAATTTCCTTTTTTAGATTTTAAAGTTACATGAATTTATTTTGGTTTATAGATGAGATAGTCATTTTTGAGGTAACGTTCGAATTCGAATATTATGAATAGAAAAAAGTCCAAATCTCATTCGGAAAATTCTAATGATAAAATCGTCACTGCCAAGCAACGACTTGAACATTTCGAGAAGGCATTAAAACCAATTGATTATGATAGTGATAATGAAAATGATAATACCAAATATGGATTTCATAAATCCACGGAATCCAAGAATGAAGGTGTTTTTTTTTTAATTGAATCAAATAAAAAATTGACCCTTACCTAATTTATAGTTTCTATTAAGTTTATAAATTCAATATACAAATAAGTTTATAAAATTCAATAAAAAGAAATAATAACTATAAACTAACATTGAGATTTTTCATAAAAAAGTATAAATGCCGACTGTCCGTTCACCTTAGAAATTTCTATTTAATCCTTTTTTTTTTTTTTTTTAAAAAAAAAATATCCTTAGTAACAACAATTCGAATTGGTGATGTTTCATTGAGAATAACAAAACCAAAAAATCAAGAGTTGGTTCCTAATTACTTTGAACCCTTTTACGAAGATTCACAAGTAAGATGTTTTTATTTTTTTATTTAATAGGACTTAATTAATTTTAAATTTATATTCTTCAAATAAAATGTATACTAAACCCTTTTTTTTTATTATTATAGGAGATTCTGCGACATTTAAGATGGTTTGTTTTCATTATTTGATTTTATTTAATTTCAGCTGTTTGAGTTTTGGCGCGTTTTATTATCAGATCTATGACGAAAGTTTTACCTTATTTGAATTAAACAATAAATAATTGATATTCATTGGGAAGGAATTTGTCATATTTAATCTTTTTTAATATCTGGAAAAAACTTTGCTCCAAAAATCTTTAACAAATCGTTAACATAATTATCAATTATTTGGTGGTTAATTCTGAAGGACTTGATAAGGATAATCTATAATGTGGCATTACTCAATAGAAAAAAAAAGAAGAAATTTTGTTGGGGTTAACATTCCATCGGCTGCAAGAAAGTCATATAAAGTTAGTTCTTAGAATTAGTATAACCAATACTAGATGAGGTTATATACAATTGTATTAATAAGTTTGATAATCATTATAAGTAAAGTTGTAAAGTTCTTTGGAGAAAGGCTAAAAAAGAAAAAGAAAAGTCATATTTGATTATTCTTTATTAAATATTTTACAAATTTTCCTGAATTTTTTTTTTTTTAATAATTAAGGATTATGCAAAAAGATAAACTTGGGCAGGATATTTTTCTTATTGGGTAAATATGTGATTAAATTTACCTAGAAAAATGAAATTGAGAGGGCAGACCCGCGGTTTATCACTTATAAAAAGAAAAATTTTACAACTGATTATATTATTAGCTTTATTATAACTATTTATCACTCTAAATAAATTCATAGACCTCCAGGGAATTTACGTAGAGGAATTGTTCTTAAGTACGCACAACTTACCAATCGAGAAATAGAGTACATCCCATTATCAAAAGATTGTACAGATGCTGATCTTAAACAACGTCGAGAAATTTTGAATGGGACAGCCTTCTATGTGGATCAAGCTTGTGTCCGAGCTGCTATTAACGGTCGAATTCTTATATTAGATGGAATTGAAAAAGCCGAAAGAAATGTACTTCCAATATTAAACAATCTTTTGGAAAATAGAGAAATGGCATTAGAGGATGGTAGATTTTTGGTTCATCCAAAACGTTATGATTCACTTATAAAAACTAATGAGAAAACGAATATGGATGAATGGAAATTGGTAAAAGTTTCTGATCGGTTTATTGTAATGGCACTTGGATTACCTATTCCTCCTTATATTGGACATCCATTAGATCCTCCTCTCCGATCACGTTTTCAATGTAGAGATATTAAATCACCAGGATTTAATGATCAAGTTAAACACTTAAGTAGACTTGCACCAAAGGCTAATATTGAAATTTTAGAAAGATTAGTTTCCGTTGGAAATGTTATTGGATCTATGCAATTTGATAATAGTGGTGGAATAAAAATTCCCGAATTCCCAATTTCAATGGAATCGAGTGTACTGATATTACAGTATTTTCCTGATATTCAACCTCGATTCTTATTGGATTTATTATATCCTTGGCCTTTACTTTCGACATGTGATTTAGAACAAAGAAATGTTATAGAAACAATTTATCATCGGTTTGGAATGCTTGGCCACGAAAATACTACAGAAAGTAAAGATGATAATGATTCTGTTCAGTGTATGCCCGGATATTTAGTTACTAATATTCAAACATCAAATAATGACATAATAAAAACAACTACTTTTAATGGACTTTCTATAAATGAAATTAATAAAATTGAATTAAATTTTCAAACTATTTCTGATACTATAAAAAATCATGTTTTTCATGTTTTTGGTGGGTCTGATGCACTTTCATCAGACGAATTTTTTGTTGAAACAAATTATCATCAAAATATTTTTAATGCAATGTTAATTGCCCATTCAGTTGGAGATTTTTGTCTCATTGGGATGAAAGGTGTAGGGAAAAGTGCTCTGGTTAGATATTTTGCTAGGAAACTTGGGTAATTATTTTTTTTATAATTTTTTTTCATTGAATATAATTATATTTAGATAAGATAACTCAACAGATATTTTACCTTTATTTAGATATAATATTGAATATATTCCTTTGTATAAAGATATGTCAGCGCGTGATCTTTTACAAAGGAGGAGTACCACTTTTTCCGGAGATACTATATGGGAAAATTCACTTTTGGTGAAAGCTGCCATAACGGGAAATTTAGCTATAATAGATGGAATTGAGACACTTTCTTTTGGTACTTTGGTTACTATACAGAGGTTAATAAAAGAACGCGAGATAGTACTTCCTGATGGAAAACAATTAATTAATTACATGAGATATAAAAGATTAATTCAAGATTATGGGTTTACTGAAAAACAATTGAAAAGCAAAGGGATACTTGCAATACATCCTGCTTTTCGTATTGTAGCATTGGCAAGACCTTTTAGTAGTAGTGAAGGAGAGTCAGGGTCATGGCTTTCACCGGAAATAGTTTCAATGTTTCAGTTTTTGGTTGTCCGTCCATTGAATAATCAAGTAAATTTAGTAAATCTTAAATTCTATGTCGGTTGTATTAATTATATCAGTTATAATTTTAAGTTATTTAAGTTTCATTATTGATTAATTTTTAGGAGGAAGCACAAGTTCTTAAAACATTGTCTCCTGGCATTGATTCTGAAAATCTTTCATTATTATTACGCTTTGCTCATCTTTTACGGAATGATACTGATGAAACTATAAAGTCAATATCTAACGCGCTATCAACTCGGTATAAAACAATTCTTCTTATTATATTCTTCTTTCTTTTGATAAATGTTTGCTATTTAATTTAATAATAATTAATTGGATGATACTTTTTATTCATTCAGACAACTTATTCGAATTTGTCGTCGGCTTACTCTTTTTCCAAGGGAAAGTCTTTATGAAACAATTCATAAAGTTTCTCTTTCACGTTTTTTACCTTCTTTGGCGAAGGAAGCATTAGAAGAATTGATGATAAATAATGGAATTTTATCACCATCTAATCCTATCAATATTAGTCAACTTAAAATTGAAATACTTCCTTCACGAGATGATCCTAAAATACTTCGTATTGGAGATGTTGAACAACCGATATCCAAGGAATCAAATCCGCTTTTGATTCCTAATGTTTTGTTTCATGAAAATCCTCAGCAAACATATATTCTTATGCAAATATTACAAGATTATCAATTAGGTATTTTTATTATTTTTTAATATATATATATATATATATATATATATTCTATTCTGTTGTCTTGAATTTTTTAATGATTTAAATGTGAATGAATTTTAGGTGAACACTTGTTATTGATTGGTAACCAAGGTGTGGGTAAGAATAAATTGGCAGATTATTTTTTACAATTATTAAGATTACCCAGAGAATATATTCAACTTCATCGGTGAGTTATGGAATTTAATTATTATCTTAATGAATTAATTTAATGAATTATTTAATGAATTTTTTATTATTATTAACAAGCGATACCACAGTGCAAAGTTTAACAGCTATTCCTTCAATTGTGGATGGAGTGTTACAATCTGAAGATTCTCCTTTAGGTATTTTATCTATTTATCTATTTATTTGTTTATCTTTTATTGAATTTAAATTTAAATTTATTTTATTTTATTTTGTTTTAATTTTTTAGTTAAAGCTGTTAGAAATGGTAAATGTCTTTTTTTTTTTTTTTGAATTCTTTTGTATAATTTGTTGCATTCAAACTTAAATACATTAAATTCAATTTAACAATTTATAAATTTAAAATATTAAAAAATTAAAATGTAATATTTACAGGATATATATTAGTTGTGGATGAAGCGGATAAAGCTCCCACATATGTTACAGCAGTACTTAGAAACCTTTTAGAAGATGGTCAAATGGTATTAAGTGATGGAAGAAGAATAATTTCTAATTTGTCATTTAATAAAAATTCAGAAGGAGAAGACAAAGAAAAAGAAGAATGTATTGTGATTCATAGGAATTTCAGGATGATAGTCTTGGCAAATAGACCAGGTAAGAATCTATATAATATATAATCTATTCATAATCCATTTATAGTCCATTCATTATTCATTTTTATAATCATTTTCATTTATTATTTCCAGGTTTTCCTTTCCTTGGTGAGTGAAATTGTGGTTGAAATTTTTTTAAACACATGTTTTTCATAATAAATATAATAAATGTATATATATAAAAACAATGGTTTTTCACTTATAGGAAATGATTTTTACAGAGAAATTGGTGATGTATTCAGTTGGTAAGAAACTAATTTTTTATTTAGAAAAAAAAATAATTTCCGTGTGTAATATTTTTTTTAATAAACTATATGTTATACTGTGTGTATAAATATATGTAAACAGTCATGCGGTTGATAATCCTGATTCGGATTCAGAAATGTTTCTTTTGAAGAAATATGCGCCAGATGTATCAGAAGATTTATTATTGAGACTTACAGCAGTATTTAATGATTTGAGAAAGTTGGTTGATGAAGGATTGATTTCATATCCTTATTCTACAAGAGAATTAGTTAATGTTGTCAAGCATATGCAGGTAAAGAAACTTTGATTATATACACTTTAATAATATTTACTTAATTATGTATACAATAATTTTGTATGCTTTAATTTTATACACTTTAATTATATAAATATATCAATTTAAAACTTTTATCATATTTTTATTATATTTTATAGCAATTTCCAGATGAAGGAGTATCCCGAATATTGCAAAATGTATTTGACTTTGATCAATATGATAAAGATTCTAAAGACTTATTAATAGCAACATTCCAAAAACATGAGATACCCGTTGGATTAGAATCTGATTTTACTGTTAATTTAGGAACCAGAATAACATTATCAGATCCAATAATAAGTGAATATTGGACGAGGTCAAATAATATTACAGAAGATAAGATATGTGATGTGAAAAAGGAAATCTTGGCATTGAGAGTAAGTGAATTAAATTTTAAAGTTATTAATTGAATTGTCGATCCTTCCTTTTAATAATCAAGATTCCTTTTTTTTTTTTTACATATAAGGGTAGATGGGAAATTCAAGTCGGGCGACCTAGAGAATTAGATAGAATAGAAAGTAAATTATTGTTATTATTACGACTATTTAAATGTTCCACAATTGTAACAATAATAATAATAAAAATGATATTTAAATTTATCTATTTTTTTTTTAGGCCGTACTGTTACATTTACTGAACAAGTTTATAATTTTAGAATACCCACCCGTGGAGAAGCTATTGATATTGTGGGTCTTGAAGATGGATCATTATTTGCAGTAACGACAAATCCTGTTGCATTACATGCAATAGACAAAGAACATCATAAAATTTTGAGTATAGATTTATATGAATATTTCCCTTTACAGGAAGGTAATTATATTGTAAAGAATTATTACATATTTATGTATGTAATAAGAAAAGTACCTTGATTATTTATTTGTATTTTATTATTTATTCAATTCAATTTACAGCTCCACCTAGAATAAAAATTTCAATAATTAAGCTTCCAAATGAACAAAACAATGAATTATGGCACTTATTACTTCATAATTCTTCTGATAATTCCTTACTTTGCATTGATTTTGCTACTAAAAATGTTATGAATACGACTTCTGCATTTATACAAAAAATTTCGGTAATTTTTCTTATTTTATTATTCAAGTTTTATATTGTGTTTTGAATAGTAAATTTTATCTCAATATATACATATATTTATCTATCTATTTATATCTAATCTATTTATTATGTATATATTTATATTTATAAATAGTTGACAGGATTAAGTCCCACCTCAAAATCAATTATGGTGAATAATTTTGATTATATGGAAATTTTAGGTAAGGTACTTTTTTTTCAAAATTGTGCAGAATAATATAAAATAATAGAAATAATAATATTATATATTATTATATTATATGTAATTAATTGTTTTATTTAGCATTTTACCAAAATGAAAGATCTTCCATTGTCATGATTGATTTTAATTCTAATACACAATATACCATTAATGTATCTATTAAAAGTAAGTTCGCCATTTTTACACAGCACAATTAAAGATATTTTTATTTTTTATTTATTATTATAATTTTCATTATAATTATTAGTTTCTCACCTTTATTTATTGAAACCTGATATTTGGCTTTTAAGAGAATGTCTTGATGGTCAATATTATATAATTCACGCAATACCAAATGAAAATAATCAAATTAGGTAAGTTTTTTTTTTTTTTTTTTTTTAATTATTATTACATACAAAAACATTCTGTAACATTTCGCAATTCATTATTTTATAATCTCAAAAAAAAAAAAAAAAAAAATTTTAGAGTTCCAAATATATTACAAAAGATTGATGTTCACGGATTCTTCAAAGATTTTCCTGAAGAAATTACTTATGTTTCATCAAGTGGAGTTTTTGCTAGACCAACTAATGATATGTATGTACATTATATTTAATAATTACTTACTATGTGTGTGTGTGTTTTAATGTATAATAATTTTTATTTAAATATTTTTAATAGATTATCAGTTCGATTCTTACAAAATACAAATGATTCCATGGCAGTTTCCTTAATTACAAATTTACCAGAAGCAATAATAAATAATAACAATAATCATAATGATAAAGTTGAAATTTATTCATATTTAAGAGAGACAAGAGATGAAAAGAATTTTCATAGTAAATATTTAAAGAATGTTTCATTATTTTTATCTCGCACTGGACAATTAGCAACCATTATTCCTCTAAAGGTATGTATTTTGATTTATTAATTTGATAATTTATTTTGGTTATTTTATTGATAAAGAATACTAATCAAATATGATGTTTTTTTAATCAAGGATGGAAGAAGTGAAGGTTATTTGGAATTATTTAATCCAATACAGAATACTTTATGGAGAATTATTATTCCATTGGCATTTAATGGGTCAAGAAAGAAGAGGTACATCATATAATGAATAAATATATATATTTTTTTTTAATTTTGTTGTATAAATTAAAATTCCTTTTTTTTATTAAAAGCAATCCAGGTCTTAGTAATATTGATCAACAATTTGAAAAAGATGCAGCTATCTTATTGGAATTACCAAATGGAAATTTATTAACAATGGATAATAGTGGTAAAATTATTTATTAAAAAATTAAATAACTTTATACAATATTTCTAGCAGTCAGTTTAGAACATTTATGATATTTGATTTTAGGTATTGTTCGTGTATGGCAAGTTGATCCTGGACAATTGATTAAGGCGGCAAACATATGGAGAAAGTTGGTTGGAAATATTGATCAACGATCTTTATCTATTATTTATGACGATTCCGAGGTTTTTTTTTATATTTTATATATTTTTTTTTAAAAATATTCAAAATACATAAATATGTTAAACCTTATAAATGTTATAAAAAAAATCATTAGGGTAAAATAACTCAAGAAACAGCGGCAGAAAATTTATTGGGAACTGGTTCTGGTTCTGGTTCTAGTGGTAATAATGAAGGTGATGGTGATGGTGATGGTGAAGGTGATGGAGAAGGTGCTGGTGGAGGTGGCGGAGGAGATCCTATGAATTTAAAAGGCCGTAACCAAACTTTTATTGATGTTGCTAATTTACAAGTTGTAAGTAATTTCTTAATCATTCATTATTTCTTATAAAATATTTCAAAGTATTGCAACTGACGATTTCTAAATATAAAGAGAACTGAAGCTGCTCCACCTCGTAAGTTGACTGATATTCAAAGGTATTAATATTATCTCAAAAATGCATTTATTATTTTATATATTGTTTATTATATTATTTTTTTATTTATTTTATTTATAAATATATTATTTAGAGAAATACATGAAATGACAATGCAAAAGAAACTCGAGCAAGTAAACATGACCCAGTCAGATTCTGAATTATACCATTCATATTTAATTAATGTACAACGCGAGATTCGTGAATTGCGAGTGATTCTAGGAAGTATTGAAGCTAAGAATAAAGAACGAATTTGGTTAAAGAACCAAAGTTCGGGAGATGTTGATGATACTAAATTGTAACTAATTATTATTAATTTATTAATCGTTACCTTTGCTCTTTAATTGTTTACTTACTTACTTGATTATTATCAATTAGCACTTAATTAATACTTGGTTATTTATCATTTAAAGAATTGAAGGTCTCACAGGAGACATAAATATTTATAAGAGACGAGGAGAAAATGATGATGAGATTGAATTTTTTCAAAGTAAACCAAAGAAAATGTTTTTTGTGTTTGACCTAAGTGCAAGGTAAAATATTCTTATACACATTCTGGCTTCAGTTTTTTTTTGATATATATATAATAATATGTTTATCGTACATTTTAGCATGTATAGATTTAACTCGTATGACCGTCGATTGGATCGTTCTATGGAAGTAGCATTAAGTAAGTTCAATATAAAATCATATTTAACTTATAATGTTATAGAACGTGAACATAATTATCTAATTATATATATATTTATATATATATATATAGTGATAATGGAATCATTTAAATCATTTGAACATAAATTTCAATATCGAATTATTGGTCATAGTGGTGATTCACCGAATATTGAATTCGTTAAAGAAGACAAATATCCACGTACGGAAAAAGAGATGTTTAAAGTATTAACTCAAATGTATACTCATTCTCAATTTTGTTTAAGTGGTGGTAAATTATTTTTCCCTTTTTTTTTTTTTTGTTTTTTTTTTTTTTATTGTATACACGTTTCAATACAATATACAATATTTATGTGCTAATATTTATTTTAATATTTTTATTCAAATGATTATATAAATTTAATTGTAATAATAAAGATAATACATTAAATGCAACCATTCAAGCGATAAAAGAAATTACTAAAGAAGATGCAGATGATTACTTTGTTGTGGTACTTTCGGATGCGAATATTACACAATACCGTATTAATCCGGAAGATATAGCGAAAGGTTTGATATTGATTCTATTATTTAATCACATTATTATTATTAATTATTATTAATTATTATTTCTTTTAAAAAAATATTCAGTATTAAAATCAACTGAAAAAGTAAATTCGTTTATGATATTTATTGGATCGTTACAAGATCAGGCTGAAAAGTAAGTTCTTTTCTTTTAATTTAATAATAAAAAAGAAATATAAAATGTATAATATAATACTGAATATCTAATCATTCTAATCCTTCCTTTGGTTGAAAAAGGTTAAAATCAAATTTAGGTAGTCACGCACATGTTTGTATGGACAATAAAGATTTACCAAAAGTTATGAAATCCATATTTTTAGCTTCGATGTTGAAAGGATAAGAAATTTTTTATCATCATCTTTATTATTTATTTGGAATAAATAAATTAAATTAATTAATTAATTAATTAATACAAACAAAGCAAAGTTCAAAATCTAATAATGATAATAATAAAATTTTTATTTTTAAATTAATTAAATAAATAAAGTATAATCGTTCATATACAGTTAATTTATAAATATAAATATATATATATAGTGCACAATTTTACACTTAAAATTATTGAATAATACATTTGAAATAATAATAAATTAATTTGATGTTAATAATAAATAATTATAAAAAATAATAAAAAAAAATAATAATAATAAATTAATAATAAATTAATAATAAATTAATAATAATAATTAAATAGATAGATAAATAAATATTACATAAATGTAGCATATTAAAAAATAAAAGTTCTAGATTTTTAATTTACATATTGTCACATTTTAAAAATATATTTTTTAAATACATTTTTTTTTTGAATAATTTCAAAGTTTTTTTTTTTTTTTTTTTTTCTGGTCAACAGGCATAATTAATTAATTTCATAATTAAATTTTTATCATAGACTTCGAAGATGATTTTTATTTTCCAACTCCAAAGAAACATATTCTGATATTTCTATATAAGAATCATTTTTAAGTTTTTTGTTGTGTCTATTTGCATAATTCTTCACTATATTTATATATGATTGTTGCTTTAAATTAAATACAAAAGAATTTATCGATCCTGGACATTGATCTAAAAATGCTGTCCACGTCGAAACTTCAAACGTAAAACCCAGTAATTCCAATTTTTTTAAACTTGGTGGAATGACTGCTCCTAATTCTACTAAGGAAGTTTTTCCAATTGAAAAAAGGGGATATTTTTTTCGAGAAATTCTTAATTCTAATAGATGTTTACAATGTTGAAATAATCCAATAAGTTGTCTTATTTCAGAATCATTTTCTATATTTACACTTAATTTCTTTAAATTTGGACAATTCGTTGCAACGGTATCCAATATATCTACATGTAATGACAATTGAATATTGAAAAAAATTTCTTTAAGTGAATCTTTAGCATTCACTATTATTGATTGAAGTTCGATCGTTGGTGGATCTGCTGGATTTGAATCATTATCGAAATGTAATTTAGTAAGATTTCTAAATTCTGCTTGTATAAAAGGTTTCATTAATTTAGTACTTAAATTTTTGCATTGTTCAAATTTTAATGTTTCTAAATTAATGCATTTTATTAATCCATCAAAATAATGTTTACGATCATCATCTTCTTCATCATTTTCAGGGAAATCACATCCAATAAATTCAATATGTCGAAGAGTTTTTGTTTTAGCCAATGAAGACAAAATACATTTTGAATCACTTTTCCAATTTGCTAAAACGAAATGTTGTAATCTACGTTGATTTTTCATAAGATTAGCCAAAAATTCCGAAGAAGTCTCGAATGAATCTTCAATTGTAATTGATTCAATTTCTTCACATGTTTTCGTTAACCCAAATATTATAGTATTCTTTGAAAATTTTCCACCACAAACAAATTCACGAAGTTGACATAAAGATTTATCATATGGTCCAGGGTAATATGCTCCAGAATAACATGGCCAAGATTTAAATTCAATTGAACTTTCATCTGTATAATGTTCAAAGTGTCGTATATCTAAGGATAATTTATTGATTCGAGCCGATCCGTTACTAAAGAGTTTTCCTAATTCATTCATTAAACGATTTGCTTGTTTTGTTTGTATTCTCTTCACGTTTAAATCGAAAGGTTCATGTAATGATTTGCATCGAATCCAAATACGTACAGCTTTATAAACATTTTGAAAGTCAATATGTCTTAATAGAGATAAATAATTTATTGTTGGAAATTGATTTTTTGTCGATACATCTATATTATGATTAATCATCATATCATCTTTGATTTCTTTTGCAAAGAACATAAAATAAATTTCTATGAGTTTCGCGGAATTCATTATCGACACTATGTCAAATGGTCTTGCCCATATTATCAAAGCGGCACTATTGAACCAATCTTTATTGACAAGGAGACAAGAATGTAGTTGTTTTGGGTCATGATTTCCGCCATAATGAAAAATTTCTAAAAGGATTTCTAATGGTAAGTGAGGTGAATGTTTATTTTTGTAATTATTAATATTAGTATAAGTATTATAATTTGAATGAATTGAATGAGTTGATTGATTTGAATGGATTGTTTGCGATGAATTATTATTATTATTATTATTTTCTATCATATCTAAAAAAAAAAAATGTAATGTAAAAATGTAAAAAAAAAAAAATAAAATACAAATTTGAATATAGATTTAAATTTAGATGTACTTTTGATAGATTAGAAAAAAAAAAGATTGAATGAATGAAATAGTAAAGGTAAAAAGTTTTGGATTTTATTTACCCCTTATCAAAATCAGCCTACAAGTCATTTGGTACAACATTGAATATATATGTAAATACACATTTTTTTTTTATATTTATATAAACAATAATAATCTCATATTTTTGGTTACATAAATCTTTTCCTTTTTTTTCTTACATTATAAATATATTTTAATGTGGTATTACGCGATTGGTTATATAAATCATCACCGCAGTATATATAACCATGGATAAACCATTTTTTTTATTTGGAACGTTTTACCAATTTAAAAAAAAATTTATTTTTTTAAATTTATTTCTTTTGAAGGAAATATAACATAAATTTACTGATCGACGATATAACAAATATATACAAATAATGGAAACTCCATCATTATCACCTGTGCAGCGTGAAGAAATTCAAAATATTATTGATGAAACAACAATTTTACTTCCAATTAATAGTACAATTGTTAATAATAATAATAATGATGATGTTTCATTTAATTGTAACAAATATGTCTTTAGAGAAGTTTGGATTCTTCTCAAAATGGCAACACCCGCTCTTCTGGCTTTTCTATTGCAGTACGCTTTTCAAGTTTCCAGTGTGTTTACATTAGGACATTTGGTAAGACAAAATCTTACGATTGACTCTTTTTATGTAAAATTTTCAATTTTTTTTATAATATTTATTATTATTTGTTACAAAAAGGGATCCAATGAGCTGTCCGCATTAACATTAGGTTCAATGGTAAATATATTATATAATTATACGATTAAAATTATAAAAAAAAAAAAAATTTTTTTTTATATTAAAAAAGAAGCCACAAATAAAAATAATAAAAAGCCGCACACTAAAATTCAAGCCCACCTGATAAAATAAACTTCCACCACATGACTTTAAATTTGGTTTAATACATATATTTTATATTATTTTAGTATGCATCGATAACATGTTGGTCGATTGGGTTCGGAACTACTACGGCATTAGATACACTTTGTCCGCAGGGCTATACATCGGAAAATCCAAAAATGGTTGGTGTTTATACCCAACGCGCTATCCTAATTATGATGTTAGGATTTATACCAATTGTTTTTATATGGTGGAATGCCGAAAATATTTTAATTTTATTAAATCAAGAAGTAGAATTATCAAAATTGGCTGCTCTATATTTACGTTATTTACTTTTGGGAGTTCCACCTAACCTCATTTTTTGGTGTTTGGAAAAATTTTTACAAGGACAAGGTGAAAAAAAAAAAATATATATTATCATATTATTGAATTTTGAAATTACGAATTCTCTATTTTAGGTTTTAATTTTATTATTAATTTTATTTATTTTAACGTGTGTAATAATAATAATAATAATAATGTCACTTTTAGGAATTATGGAAGCTACAACATATGTTTTAATAATTTGTTGTCCAACAAATTTTATTCTCAATTATGCACTCGTCTGGTGGGAACCTATAGCACTTGGTTTTATTGGTAGTCCAATAGCTACCACCATAACAAATTGGTTAATGTTATTACTTACTATCCTTTACATAAAATATGTTAAAGGATACGAAGCTTGGGGAGAATTGTGGTCACGTTCTAGCTTTGATGATTGGTTTTCATTCGGAAAACTTGCTTTTCCTGGTATATTAACATCATGCGCTGATTGGTGGATTTATGAAATAATTGCTTTAGCGGCTGGTATTTTAGGAAATGTACCTTTAGCATCTCATCGTTTAATTCTTACTATTTCTTTATTACTATTTCAATTACCTCATAGTATATCAGTAGCAGCTTCAAATAGAGTGGGTAATTTATTAGGTGCAGGATTATCTCGTAAAGCAAAAATTGCTTCAAATTTATCATTAATTTTAGCTTTTACGGGAGCCATTTGTAATGCTAGTTTATTAATAGTATCCAAGGATTCATTGGGGTAAATGTTTCTTTTAGATAAAAGGTTGACTGGAATTATTCAAAAAAAAAAATGGATTGATTTAAATATATTTCGTGTGTATAATATACATCCATATCCGTTGGTGCATGCACCACGCACGCTATAGTATAACCAGTGATTATGTATGTATTTTTTTTTTAAAAAAAAAATTATAATTCTAACAAAAAAAAATATTTTTTCAACAAAATTTTCATTATGAACAGATATTTATTCTCAAATGATAAAGAAGTTGTAGAATTAGTAGCAAAAATATTACCATTATCGGCATTATTTCAGGTAAAAATCAAATTTGTTATTTTTTTATTCTTTATTATTAATTTTATTATTATTATTATTATTATTATTATTTTTATTATCATTGTTAAAAGATATCAGATGGTATAGGAGCAACAGGTAGCGGAATCCTTCGTGGTCAAGGACGTCAAAAAATCGTAGCAATAATTTATTTACCAGCATTTTATCTTATCGGTCTACCATTAGGGTTAATGTTAGTATTTAAATTTAATCTTGGATTAAAAGGATTATGGTGGGGTGTCACTTGTGCATCTTTAAGTATGGGTATAGGAATTTTTATTATTGTTTTGATGTCTGATTGGAAATTAGAAGTTAAGAAATGTCAGGAAAGAATAAAAGAGGATTTAAATGAAGAGGAAATTATAGTGTAACGAAAAAAAAGTAGTAATTATATAAATAAAATATGATATAAATATTTAGAATAAAATTATTTAATTTAATAGCATTATTTGATAATAAAATTATTTTCTTGCTCGATAATCCTTTTGTTTTGAATTCCATTCTACAAATTTTAATATTCCTTCATGTTGTAACAACATTTCTTTTGTATTATATTTTAATGCTAGTTGAGCATGTGGAATCATTTTATGAATAGATCTATGACAAGTTTTACATATTTTAATACCTCTAGTGGTACATTCTAGTTTAGTAAATATGCCTTTCTTAATAACTCGTTTATGCATCATTCTAGGAATTAAGTGATGAAACGAAAGGCGCATGTGACGACGACATAAGGCACAAGTTCCAGGTTCGATTTCTTCTTCTTCTTCTTCTTCTTCTTCTTCTTCGTCATTTTCTTCCTCCTCTTCTTCATCTGAGTTTTGAGATATAGTAGTAGGCTCGGAAGAAGTGATTGTAGAATTCCACTTTCCGACTATATCTTTACAAATTTGTAAACATTTTTCCTCATTATCGCATATTTCAAACGTAATAAAATCATCTTTGACAATTTCATAAATTTTTGTAACGATTTCTTGTTCAGATAATGACGAGGTGGATTTATTATCATTTATAATTTCACTATTATTATAATTATTATCATTATCATTGTTGTTATTGCTATTATCATCGTTATTATTTTCTTCCAAGTTTCCCAAATTCCATACTTGTTCCGCAAGATATTCAACGGAATCTGCGTCATCCGATACAATTATGTTTGGATTATGATCGCATAGTATTTGATAGAAAGTTGCTTTGAATAAAATTAATTTTTCAAGCTTCTTTTGGGTTTTGAATTTTTGTTTTGTTATTTTTGTTATTTTCAGGGAATTCGATTTATTATTCGATTTATTCATTTTTGGTTAAAAAAATAAAAAAAGATAAAATAGTAAATAATAATAAAATTAATTGAAATTTCTGATTTGATCGGGTCGGGGGAGGATGATTTTATTTATAATAATTTCCTTAGTTGATACCGCAGTTTAAACCAAACAACTGCGCCATTCTGAAATTTCTTGATTTAGAAAAGAAACAATAAAGAGTAAATATGGATGGTTTCAGTCGAAAATTTCTTGATTTAGAAAAGAAACAATAAAGAGTAAATATGGTTTCAGTCTCGGAGAATATTTTTTCCTAATCATTTATCTATTATTACTATTATCGAAGAAAATTACCTCTCTTCTTTCGGACCTCATATTCCTATTGTCGTTTCTTGTGTAATGTCTTTTAGTTTTATTAGCTTATAATTAAATTTCTTTTTTTACTGTACTGTACATCTAAATAATGCCTTAATGAATGTATCGTTTGGAATTTATCTTGATTAATTAATTGTATTTATCATAACAGAACAAGAAAAAATAATAACTTTAAAAATTAAGAATTTCGATATTTTCATATGTATGCATTTGCCAAAAAAAAAACCCCCAAAAAAATTTTTAAATTTAATAATAAAATATTACGATCAAATATTATTTAAAATTAAATTATTTACTTTGAAAACTTCATAATCAATAATTAAAAAACTTCTTTTTTCTAATAGGTTTTTCATATTAGATTGGCCACTTCACATATGAAGGCTACCTTCACCAAAATTAGGGCCAGTATAATTTTTGATTAGTGTTATTACTATACCATAATGCAGATTCAGGCTTCTTAACTCTGCTAAGAATTGAATTTTGAATATTATCATTTTTCAATGAAATGAAACTACCCTATAAAGACCAGAAGTATTCTTATCACACATTAAAGGATTATAACCTCCAATAATTTTATCAGTTCCTTTGACTTTTATAATAACTACTGTACCGGCGTGACCATGGCACATGTTCCAAAACGTTTGTGGTGAAATCCATCTTTGCTTCCTCGTAAAATTAACTGAAATTTATATGGACAATTTGTTAAAGAATATAATATTTTTACGAAGGAAATTTCCGCAGCATGATCATAAGAAATAATGATTGAAAAAGAACGAGCAGGTAATTCAGGAATCAAAATTGTTCTTGCTGATAAAATAACCGATTTCACTGGTTGCCCAGGAGATATTAAATGTTGCATTAAATCTTCCCAAAGTTGGTTACCAAGAATTTTCTTGTCAGGTCCTACGTTATTCCAAATATCCTCACCAGAAATATGGAAATATCTAATAAATGGTAAGCAATGTTGGAGAGTGGTCTTCAATGTTAAAAAATTATCTTCATTCCATTTGTCAACGTTAGTAGGAAGAATAGGATTTGAGCAATTCCCCATTTGATAATGTAATCCCATATTTTGGCTTCTTCCACTTGCAAATCATCACGTTTGAGAAGAGACACCAAAGCAGCTTCTTGAAGAGATGTAAAATCTTCAGCATCAAAAATAAGACTAGGATACTTTGCAACAATATCATTACAAAAATTTTCTAAATCTTTAAATTTATTATTATTAATAAAAATTGAATGAAAAGTGTGGCTTTAACCAAGAAGCTTTATCTACAATAAGAGTAGTTTCTAGTTTCTTGGATAATTCTTCCAGCTCGAATTTGTTAGTCACTAACATCAAGTCAAAAATAATCCTTGTTCCCAAATTAACAATACCACCATAAATATATCTATAATATGATAGCAATGATTAAATTAAATCATAATATCTGATATCATTTTTAATTGTTAAATAATTATTATAACATACTTGAGAATAATATCAAAAATATGAGCAGAAATGTCATGTTTAATGATCATCTTGACAATATTTTCATTTGGGTTAATAGTATCCAATTCTTTATGAAAGTACATTTGAGTGTGCAGTAAACTGTTTCTTATCAAATTTTTTAAAAAATTTCAAGGATGAATTCTGGCACAACAAATAATTTAAATTGCGCAAACTTTTTTTTAAAAAGAATCCCCAGATCAAGGGCTATTGTATATCTTATTTATTCAAATTGGATACCTGCTCATCTTAAAATCTTGTCTTAAATAAAATTAACCAAAAATATTATTAATCATAACCTCTTTTGATTTAAGTAATTATTTACTGAAAGTGCTTACTATTTTATAAGAAGTTGTATCTCTATACTAAATCTATGACTTTAATTAGTACCACATTTCATGTTTTCTAATCAAAATCAGAACTTTACTTAGACACAACTAAAAAATGATCGAAATTATTGTTGATCATTTACTGTTTAAAGAAAATTATCAATCATTGTTACATTGTTGACCCTAGTTGTCAAATTTTATTTTTATCTTATTTATTTATTATATTATTATTTTATCATCATGTATTAGCTTATTTATAACTATATTTTATTAGTTCAATTTCATATTTTTATTAGTATATATTATATAGGAAATTATTGATATAAATCATTTAGAAATTGATATAACTATTAGGTATTACGACTGTAGATCTAAGTGTAATCAACAGCATAGTGTATAGTATAATCAATAGTATAATAAATAGTGTAATAGATGGCATAGTAAAAAGTGTAGTTAATAGTGTATACTATACATGCCCCCAAAATTAAAAATCCAAAACCCGACCCCGTATAATTTAAAATGACCCCGAAATTGAATTCCGAAATTCAAAATTAACCCCGAAATTATTATAAAAGACGAAAATATTT